GAAAAACACATTTTTTTCAAATTTTTGGACTTTTTCATTTATATAGCAAAAAAATAAAAATCCCAGTGGTGAATAAATACCACCAAAATAAAGTTTTATCTGTCTCAAAAAAAAAATGCTAAAAAATTTCATATGGGTACAGTGTTGCATGACTGCGCAATTGTGTCATTCAAAGTGTGATAGCACTGAAAGCTGAAAATTGGCCTGGTACAGGAAGGGGGTGAAAGTGTCCAGACTTTAAGTGGTTAAACAGTACAGGCACTTATTTTTAATGTTGTACATAGCTATAAATGCAAAAGGGTCCAGCATGATTTTATTTTATTGAGGTTTAGAAGCATTGTGCTTGTGTAAATGTTGACAGGTCCTCTTCACATGAGCTCAACTTTCAAAGTTATGGGGATTCATGTCCTCAGCACTAAGATAAGTGCATTAAAGACATCCCAACAGCCATCTGCCCTTTTTGGTCCTCTCCTTCAGTCAATAACGATCTTGTATTGTTTTCATAGAATGCAACACTTTATGTGAGTGGGAGACGTAGATGAATGCAGGGGCGGACTGACAACTCAGGGGGCCCCCAGGCAATAGGGGATCATGGGGCCCCTGTGTCCTCACCCACACTAAAACCACACCCAAAAAAGCCTATGAAAGGTACCAGGGGCATCTCATGGGGGCCCCCTACTGACCCCGGGCCCTCAGGCAGTGCCCGAGTTTCCAAATGGTCAGTCCGCCCCTGGATGAATGACTGTATTCTCTACTCCATTTAAGAGGATGTGTTGCATTCTGTGAAAGCAATGTGAGCAAGTTAACTCCCACAGTTCTGGATATTTACCCATGTAAAGAAGACCTGAACATTTCTACACACCAAGGAGCAATCAGCAGGTAATGGGATATACTTCATTGGAAGCAAGTTATCTTACTGAACCTATATTCCAGGAAAAAAAAAAACTAAATTACTCCCTTACTCTCACACTGATGCAACTTCAAGGATCGGGAACCCAGACATAGTTACATAGTTAGTCTGGCTGAAAAAAAGACAAAAATCCATCCAGTTCAACGATAAAAAAAAAAAAAAAGTTATAATCCTATATCTACAGTTGATCCAGAGGAAGGCAAAAAAACCCCCAGCAAAGCATGATCCAATTTGCTCCTACAAGGAAAATAATTCCTTCCTGATCCCCCGAGAGGCAATCGCATATTCCCTGGATCAACTTTACCTTTAAATGTTAGTATCCAGTTATATTCTGTGTATCTAAGAAATAATCCAGGCCTTTTTTAAAGCAATCCACGGAGCTGCCAGAACCAACTCTTGAGGGAGTCTATCCCCTGCTTCTTGTACTGGACCGCTCTGTGGTTAAATAGCCAATAATGTGGGTGATAAGATGTGCCTAGCCCTAAGCAAATTTTACCTGTTAAAATGAAAATATGAAGAGGAAATTCCAGAGACTAGTTGCAGATGTGGGCAGCCAACTATAGGACTCTTGTTAAGCCTACTATTACTTTGCCAAACAAAAAAACAATAGCACTTTTATGATGAACAGTTGAATTTACCTAGTTCATGTAATTATTGCCACCTACAGACCTTTTAGGATGGTCAGATATGCATGTAAGCAGGTTGGTAACTGCATAAGACGTTAGGATGGGTTGGGAAGAGGTTAAGTTCTCTGCTTCCAGTGTGCAGGCTTTTTGGGTTTCAGCCGGCCCACCTGTGATATAAATTGGGGGAAGGCTGAGGTCCAGAGCCCCCACTGCGTTCCATGTGCTGCTATGCTTGTAACATTTCAAGAAAGCCAAGGAGGAACCGTGTGTGTCCTCCTACCACCGAGGGTACTGCAGTAACACCCGTAAGGCTCCATTCACACGTGTACAACTTGTCATAGGGCTTTGGACATTAAAGTTGCAGGACAAGTCATACCCCATGTTTTTCAATGACAACCTTTCAAATATGTACAACTTAAAGTTACAGCGACTTCAAAAGTAGTTCATGCACTACTTTGGCTCAACTTGTACTACAATATGAAAGTTGCACTTGAATGTTATACATGCAGCAGTTCTCCATTATCATCAATGAAATCCAAAGTTGGATCCAAGTTGCACTTGGAGTCATACAAGTTGTGAATGGCACCTTAACCACTTCCAGTCCGGACACTTTTACCCCCTTCCTGTCCAGGCCAATTTTCAGCTTTCCGTGCTATCACACTTTGAATGACAATTGCGCGGTCATGGAACACTGTACTCACATGAATTTTTTAGCATTTTTTTTAAAGACAGATAAAGCTTTATTTTGGTGGTATTTATTCACCACTGGGATTGTAAATTAAAAAGTACAAAAATTTTAAAAAAGTGTTTTTCTTATAAAATTTTGCAAATAAATAGTATTTCATCATAAATCTTAGCCAAAATTTATTCCGTTATATTTTTAGCAAAAAAAAAAAAAACCCAAATTAGTTTATAACCAAAAATTATATAATTTTTAAACTTTTTTTTTTACTTTTTTTAATATATATATTTTTTTTTTACATACTGTCACACTAGCAGTAGTGTCACCATGGTGACACTGTACTACTTGTGGGGGTTATGAAGATTTTTTTTTTTACACTGATTGCTTTTACACCCATAAAGGATGTAAAAGCAATCATTTCTCCTTCTCTCCAGCTGCATTCTTGCAGCCATTGAGAACTACTGAGTGAGCTGTGACTGGTCACAGCTTGTCACATGGTACAAGGCTGTTGTGAATAGCCTTGTACCATGTGACCTCTGTGATCATTCAGATTTCACACATAGTAAGCACTAATGTCAAAAGTGACATCTTGCTTACTTCTACTTGGCCAATCAGTGATCACATGATCGGGACATCGCACAGAGGTTCCGTCCAACAATCGGTGTTCCACTGTGTCCGAAGGACACAGCAGGCACCTGATCGCGGTGCTGTGCGGTCCCAGGGAGAGCGCGCACAAGCAGGGTGTGGGGAGGCCGTTTATAAACGGCCACCCAACCCTGCACTGTCACCGTCCGGCCGTTTATATACAATGGCCGAACGGGAGGAAGTTAAAGTATGCCTGGACCACCTATCAGTTAGTTAGGATTAGGGAGGGAATTGTTTGCACTAAAGTTGATCAGTAGAAACTGTCCTTTCCTTGAGCTTGGTCTGAAGTCATTTAAAAGGATAAGTTCACCTTTTAGACAAAAGTAATAAAATGCACATTTTTTGCAGGTAAAAAAAAAAATGTGCATTTTTTATTTTTGTCTGCAGGAGCCTGGAAAGCATTGCACCAGCGATCCGTAGATCGCTGATGCCATGCAAGTCTCCTGCAGACCTGTCAGTATATCTGCTTGCCATACGGGATGTATGAGCAAGCAGATATTCTGACAGGAAGAATCAATTAACTACCACGGCGCCCCACAGCACCCTGTTAGTTCATTGCAAACTACAAGCCAACAACTGCTAAGGCAGCCGGGACTTGCAATTCATTCATTCACGGAAGTCCGTGATGCGGCCGTGTGCATGGAGCCCCGCACAGCCATGCCATTTACACTATGGGATGTCTGGTTTTGTTTTCATTTATGCTGAAAATATGAAATACTGCCTGTGGAGGAGAGGAGTTTCCTAACATGCAGTCCTAGTGGAAGGTTATCGGTTACTACCAGCAACCATGGTTAAGAGGGTGAAGGAATATCGGCCATCAGGACCGCATTACATACTGCGATAGTCCCAAAAGCAAGTGTGACTTACCTAGAGATAGGTGGTCATGAAATGACAGTGAGTTTACATCTACGTGGGGCACCAGTGTGAACACAGTGAAGCACTTGTCATTTCAGTATGGGAGGTTCACCGTTAAAGACACAGCACCATTGCACTAATAATTCACATGTTGGGACTGAATACTAATATTGCATTTGAATGTTGTTCTTTGTTATCACTTTAATTTGCACATTGGATTTAGTGGATTTGGGACCTTAACGCGTTCCATTTGAAATATTCATATAACAGAAGTTTATGCAAGTCACAATGAAATCGGCAAAAAGTAGTGCAGGAACCTTTTTAATGAGTTACGTCGATATGAATGGTTCCATTGCCAGCAATGGGGTACAACTTGTCATGCAATTTGGAACTGTCAAATCATATGACAAGTCGCAGCGGTGTGAAACCAGGGCTTGTTGTTAAAGCCTAATTGAACAAGCTGAAGTTAGAAGCTGGTTGGTTGCTATGCACACCTGCATCAGATTCTGTGTGCACCAGTTTTACTACAACTCCCCTAAAGCAACCAGTCAAGGTGTGGTACTTGGCTAAGGTGTGGTATCCTCCGGTAGCAAGGGTGGTCACTGTTTGGGCTGCCTCCCAAGTGGTCTGTCTCCCAGAGCAGGAGTTATGGAGGTCCTCAGCCTAACTACATGGGATAGAAAAGGAAGATTTAACAAAGGACACACATGGGATCTTCACTATGTGTCTGGCGGGATCCCATTCTATTACTGGGAATAAGGTAACAGGTACACTGGCTGGTGGAGGTGGTGCTGCTCTACCTGCCACTCCGAATGCAACACACATCAGTTGCTGAATATAGAGCTATGAGACAACACTTTATCAAGAACTCACCTTCATTCTACATGCAGTGCTAGCTCATCTCTAAGGCAAACTCCTGACTCAATGCTAGGCTGTACACACAACTGCAATTCCCATCTAGCCCCAGCATTGATTAGCACGCCTTTAATCGGACATCTCACCACCTCTCCATGCACAAACAACCCAGGGGCTTCCAGGCACCAGTAATGGGTCCATGAATAGGAAAAGGGTTTCATTTTAATGGTTAAGTATAATTCTACAAATGTGTTTAGTAAAAATAAAATCAGACTACAGAGCTTTCAAAACTAAACTGGTCCCAAATTTATTTCATAAATTAATGCTGGTAGAAGTCAAGTATTTTGTTTCTTTAGTATAAATTACATAATTCTGCAGCCTTCACAGAGCTATCAGGGCAAAAGCCTCGTAACTGCACTAGAAGCTTTCAGCCCAGCGTGTGTTTATTGAATAGGTATTCAGCCATTCCAGGGTGGCTAGACCAAAGCTTCTTCAAACTGGTGATGTGATCTCCAAGTTTCTTCATCGTCTCCACGCTCTCTGACAAATAAGGAGACTCCAGGAAGTCTGTCATCTGCAAAAAGGGGAAAGAAAAAAAATATATATATATACACATCTGAATGGTTTGTTCAGAACAAGAGTTCCTGATTGAGAAATTACAGTTACCAAAGTTATTTCATTATGAAAACTAGATGAAAGGACAGTTAAGCAGCCCATACTTTATGCAAATGTATTTCCTTCCATTACGGGTGGAAGGAAAGAAAATTGCTCGATTCCCCATCAGCATAGTGAGTGTTGATGGGGGAATCCCTCCGGCAGTGCTATTTTGTTCTGCCAGCGAGTCCATTTAGAAGGTGCAGGCCTAATTAAACACACAGCGAAGAAGTCATACAATGGACGAGGGGTTCGGGCCAGACTAATATTACACATACACACAGAGGGGAAGTAACTTCCATGCCTGTGTGCTATATTCCAGAACCAACTTCACTTTTGACTTCAAAAACTGAAGCTGGCCCTGCAATGCAGCACACACAAGTGGGGATGCCAACTACATGCTGTGTGTGCATGATATAAATCCATTCATCAGCCTGCTGTGTTAGTAATCCTGCCCATCCTGTGTATAATTTTGCCACCCCCCCCCCCCCCCTTACTAAAGGAAGTTTGAAGGGGGAGTGACTGAACAACCGACCATGGGAGATACAGGCATTCTGTGTGTCGGCACGCCATTCCAACTCCTGACGGAGATCACAAGGACGCAAACTGACCACAGTAGCCCAGATCTCCTTCCATGCCTGCTGTGGTCAGTTTGAAAAAGGAGGGATCCACGGGAACTGGCAGGATCAGAAGGGTTTTTAAAGAGGTTGAATAAAAGTTAAGACGCTAGATTAAAAAATAACGCACACACACACACATTACATATTTTTATGTTGCACGATATTTGTGCAGCGATTTTTCAAACACAGTTTTTTTGAAAAATACACTTTAATGAATTTTAATGCACAAAAACATTATACCCTATTTTTCAGTAATGTATAAAAGATGTTACGCCAAGTAAATAGATACCAATCAAGTTACGCTTTAAAATTACGTACGCCCCTGCGGAACTGCGCCTAACTACAGTACCTAAAAATCTCCATAGGCAATGGATGAGGTGACCCTTAAGGGGGTGAGCGCTACAACTGCATTAAACATCTTTATTTCGCTTTATATATATTGCAGTTATAAATGTTCATGTCGGGTGCTTACGTGAGGATCATTCTTGTCAGCAGCCACACCGTGGAGGTCCAGCAGAGCCTGGTTTACGGTTTTCTCCAGCTTTAGACCAGTTTGTAGTGCCTCTAAACCATTCGTCCAGTCGTCACGCTCTGGTTTCTTTTGATGTGAAAAGAATAAAAATGAATAGTGGTTTGTGTACAGATTACATAGCAAATAGAAGGGTCTTTTTAAGATTATACAAAATCTGCCCTTGCAAACCTCTCCTGTATATAGAAACATTGTTCCTAACCCTCCTCCCAACAGTCTTTTGGGAGCAGCAGGGACTACAAAAATGTATAACTGCACTTCAAGCCCTACGGTTTGCAAATGCTGGTTGTGTTTCCACATTTTACCTGCAGGTGGTGCCACAGACAACGTGGAAACATGGCTTCAGGTTATAGCTAAGTGGGAGAAAGGACAACAAAGAAACATTGTGTGACAAAAGCAGAGGTCCCAGCTAACACCACTGCACATCTTACATTTTTTTTTTAAACAAAAAAAGGGATGAATTTTATTTTTTTCAGTAATTTTAAAATTTCTACCTTTAGTCTCTGTTCACACTACCTGTAAACGGTCCCCACTCACAATTTTGTTAGTGCAATTCTCACAAGGAAATGTGAGTCACGCATAGGGAAGCCTATTTACTTGAATGAGCTGCCCTATGCGTGATTGTCGCTGCAAAGAAGCCCAAGGACCAAATTTTGGCCCGAGTCAAGAGTGATTCTAAACGTACTTTTTGTCACGTAGCAAAACTGTGCCATGTTTGGGGTGCCAATCATCTCATGTGCGTTGCACATTTTTCCACGATTTGAAATCACGGGCAGAACATCAGTGATTTGGTCTGTGATTACACATTGCCCATATGTGAACGGGGGCTCTATAGTGTTATCGACCACGCTGAACAATAACCAACTAAAGACCAAAGCTGCCATGACCTAAAACTATAAGAGCAATGTGTAATGTGATACTTACCTGTAATGCAGCTCCATGGAGATCTTCAGACAGCCTTGCAGTGACAAACAACCTCATTTTACAACCCAGCTCCAGACTTCAGTCATGCTAACAAAAGTTAATTTTGACCAAGCTGGTTTAAATGAACTATTACCTTCCTCAACACGTCTCACCACTGCATAAACACTGGATATAGCATCAGCTACATAGAGTATACAGTATCTCCCAGAAGTGAGTACACCCCTCACATTTTTTGTAAATATTTTACTCTATCTTTTCATGTGACAACACTGAAGAAATGACACTTTGCTACAATGTAAAGTAGAGAGTGTATAGCTTGTATAACAGTGTAAATTTGCTGTCCCCTCAAAATAACTCAACACACAGCCATTAATGTCTAAACCGCTGGCAACAAAAGTGAGTACACCCCTAAGTGAAAATGTCCAAATTGGGCCCAATTAGCCATTTTCCCTCCCCGGTATCATGTGACTCGTTAGTGTTACAAGGTCTCAGGTGTGAATGGGGAGCAGGTGTGTTAAATTTGGTGTTATCACTCTCTCATACTGGTCAATGGACGTTCAACATGGCACCTCATGGAAAAGAACTCTCTGAGGATCTGAAAAAAAGAATTGTTGCTCTACATAAAGATGGCCTAGGCTATAAGAAGATTGCCAAGACCCTGAAACTGAGCTGCAGCACAGTGGCCAAGACCATTAAGCGGTTTAAACAGGACAGGTTCCACTCAGAACAGGCCTCGCCATGGTCGACCAAAGAGGTTGAGTGCACGTGCTCAGCGTCATATCCAGAGGTTGTCTTTGGGAAATAGACGTATGAGTGCTGCCAGCATTGCTGCAGAGGTTGAAGGGGGGGGGGGGGGGGGGGGGGGGGGGGGGGGGGGGGTCAGCCTGTCAGTGCTCAGACCAGACGCCAGACACTGCATCAAATTGGTCTGCATGGCTGGCGTCCCAGAAGGAAACCTCTTCTAAAGATGATGCACAAGAAAGCCTGCAAACAGTTTGCTGAAGACAAGCAGACTAAGGACATAGATTACTGGAACCATGTCATGTGGTCTGATGAGACCAAGATAAACTGATTTGATTCAGATGGTGTCAAGCATGATTGGCTGAGCAGCGCTCAACTCAATTTCATTCTAGAATGGGACGGCACTGTATACAGTATGTAGATGATGCTTTGTACAGTTCATATATGCATTGCAGGCATCAGTGTGGCCCCATTCAGATGAATTGCAATTGGCGCAACAGTGGGGATACATTTTGCTGTGCTGCAAAGCAACGTGGTCTGTGTACTCTCCCATCCGCTGCCTTTGCAGCTCAAGGGGGGTCCCAACTGCAAGTGTAAAAGGGGTCTGTGCATTTTCTATGCAAGTCAATCGAGTTTGGGTTGTTTGATGCAGGACGAGTGGCATAGGTCGAGTGGGGGGGGGGGGGGGAGGCGTTTTGGTCTTTAATTGTTGCACAAAACATCTGTTACAGATAAATGTATTATAGTAAAACCTTTTGGCCTGAAGTGTTTCAGATCCTCTCAACACTCTTTGAAGTGCTGCTGGCACCTGACCCCACTGTGGCTCTCCTGAATAACAAACCCTTGGTTCTTACCCACCACCAATTCAAACCTTTACTCCAAGTCACCACTGCTGCTAAACAGACCATAGTGAGGGCTTGGAAGTCTCCCTTATTGAGTATCTTAGCAGTGAAAACACAGGAATACTAAAGGCGATGACTTGAAGCAACCTTACTGGATAGAGTGCCCTCCTATGAAGGACTCTGGAAACCCGGTCACACGTTTCGTGCCCCAATTTTGATGATACTCTGCTGCTGGCATGACAGCTCAGCCACCATTTAGATGACCCGAGTCACCCCTGCTGTTGGTGGTCCTGGCCCCTCCTAGGTGACTTATTTTTACCTTTATCTCCCCCCTTCTATTCTGTATTAGTTTTAATGCAGTTTCTGGGTACTTCTCTGGTGGGGGTGCAGTGTTACAGCCTTCTCACCCCACTGGAGGTGGGTACCCATATACCCAAGGAAAGGCGACTTACTTTACTTTATCAAGCTCACATCTGGACATTCGTTCCACCAGCTTGTCTTGTCAAACAGTTTTGAGACATTCCTCGCCCTGCATAAACACCCTGTACTGTACTATTTGCTGATATGTACGCCATTTCTCTTTTTGTCATTTTTAGTCTATGTTTGGGTTACATCTTATCCCATATTGAATTATATGTTTGAAATTCTCTGTAAAACTTTCAATAAAATATTTGAACAAGAAGTGTATTATAGTACAAAACTGCTCAGCTCGGGGATGTGGACACTCCAGAGAAATATACTAAAAGTAGTATCACTTTCTCAAAATTCCTGTTTGCTTGAACAGCATTTTGTGTGTAAGAAATGTAAGAGGAACATCTCATGATTATTATAAAAACTGTACCTGTGCACACGTTTTATGGCCTTCAGCTATCACATACTGTATTGCGACATACAGAGCAGGTGCCATCAGCAATTACACATCCAAGGAAGGCACACACCCATTTTCTTGGATTGGAACGACAGCTTGTAGCACCTTCTGCTAAGACCTGATACTGCAGCACTGCATCCAACCTATTGGAGTGTTCTGAGTGGGTTACAAAGGTGGCTATGAAAATGCTAGCTGCATGGTTGTCTCTGGCTTCAATACTTTGAAATGCTGACCTAGAAGCATTCAGAAAGCTTAAAATGGATACTGAAAGAAGATGGATAGGAAAAAAAAAAAAAAAAAGGAAAGAAGGTTATACTAGTACAATAATACTGCACAAAATGATGGTTTGCCTTCTCTTTGACGGTCCCTCACCAGCACTGCTTCTCCTTCCTGTGGGTGCCCCCTCAACAAGCTGTGTGCCAAGGGGGCACTCATGCAGGCACGCTTCCAAGCCAGGCTGTATGCTACTGCAGACACACCCTCCTCATAGGCAGGGGTGGACTGACCATTCGACCACTCAGGCACTGCCCGAGGGCCCGGAGTCAGTAGGGGGCCCCATGAAATGCCCCTGGTATCTTTTATAGGCTTTTTTTGAGTGTGGGCAAGGACACAGGGGCCCCACAATCCCCTATTGCCCGGGGGCCCCATGAGTTGTCAGTCCACCCCTGCTCATAGGATTTGACTGATGGCAGCAGAAGCCAATGGATCCCGCTGCTTTCGGTGCTGGGAATGCATTAAAGTGAAAAAACAATTAGGGTTTGAAAAAGCTGAGGCTAATTCACAGGACAAAAGGGTGTGGAGCACGTTCTGAAAACTAACCAAGGTCAGGAGCAACATCAGAGGGCTTCATGGGCCACATGGGGCCCAGGGGCCATGGGTTGAGCACCCGTGATGTAAACAATCAGAAATGCAGTTAATACAATCATAGCCTGTCATTGATATGTACAAACAGCTGTACACAATTAGAGGAACAATAATACAATGGAGGGATATCATTGCAGGAAGACTACCTACCTCTACGCTCTGGAGGAACACCCGTCCTCCTCTCTGGTTCTGGTACTTGATTAGCTTCTCGGCATGCTCCCTCTCCTCTTCTGAACGTTCCCGGAAAAACTTGGCAAAATTAGCGAGAGCTACATCATCCCGATCAAAATAGGAGGCCTGAAAAAGATACATTTCTAAGCATTTCATCCCATTCAAAGTTCTGCAGAAACTATTCAGCAACTTCCACAAATCTCTTCCTCCACACTCCTAGATTCATTCAAAGGAGATTTGTATTTTTCCTCCTTTATGGTTTATGCACACAGACACTTTATATGCCTAGCGGAAACTTCCCAGAACTTTCCCATGCCCAGGGAGACACAGGTGCTGCATCAAAGAAGCGAATTGCCATACTCTTATAAACTCTGATGCTTCTTTGCATCAGCCTTACCCCGTGTACATGCATCCCATGTATTTGCAACTACTACAAGCAACACTCGTTACAAACAAATGGAGGGAAGGGGAAAAGGAAAGGTTTTGGGAGCTCACAAAATGACATTACAAGGAGACAGAAAACACAGTAAGAAAAGGATACAGGGTACATTTCCCAGCAAGGCACCGTGTAACCCCAGCATGTCTGATCCCCCAACAACGCACTGTGTAACCCCAGTAAGCCTGATCTCTAACAATGCACTGTATAACTCCAGCATGTCTGGTTCCCAACAATGTACCGTGTAAGCCCAGCATGTCTGATCCTCCAACAACGCACCGTGTAACCCCAGCATGTCTGATCCCCAACAGACAGCACCGTGTAACCCCAGCATGTCTGATCCCCCACAACGCACCGTGTAAGCCCAGCATGTCTGATCCCTAACAATGCACCGTGTAAGCCCAGCATGTCTGATCCCCAACAACGCACCGTGTAAGCCCAGTAAGCCTGATCTCTAATAATGCACCGTGTAACCCCAGCACGTCTGATCCCCAACAATGCACCGTGTAACCCCAGCACGTCTGATCCCCAACAATGCACCGTGTAACCCCAGCACGTCTGATCCCCAGCAATGCACCGTGTAACCCCAGCACGTCTGATCCCCAGCAATGCACCGTGTAACCCCAGCACATCTGATCCCCAACAATGCACCGTGTAACCCCAGCACGTCTGATCCCCAACAATGCACCGTGTAACCCCAGCACGTCTGATCCCCAGCAATGCACCGTGTAACCCCAGCACGTCTGATCCCCAGCAATGCACCGTGTAACCCCAGCACATCTGATCCCCAATAATGCACTGTGTAACCCCAGCATGTCTGATCTCGAACAATGCACTGTGTAACCCCAGCATGTCTGATCTCGAACAATGCACTGTGTAACTCCAGTATGTCTGCCAGTCTGCAGAGGACAGGGGGAGTCACATGACTTCCGGAGGACAACACAAAGCTGCAGCGCCGGTTATAAAACACGTCTCGTGCGATGTCTAATGTTTCCTATATCGCTGTGTGTGTGGCTCTTCATTGGCCCACATCTCTCCTAGTGATTACATGGAAGGGCTCACCATAGACAGGTAGACGTAGGAGCTGTGGTATTTCAGGTTCACCATGCGATTGAGGCCAGCCTCGCAGTCTTGGTGGAAGTTATGCCTGACCTGGGACTCCATGGTGGTGTGTAGTGCAGACACAGCTGGGTGTGATGATGGTGTATAGGAGGAAGCCCTCCTGAGCTATGGAGGAAGCCCCTCCTAACCCCACACAGGTCCCCTCCCCCACACATGGCTGCCTGCACTCTGCACATTCCTCTGTCACTCCCAATCACTCATGGTCTGTTCACTAATCTCATCTAGACATGTGCAGGGCAGGAGCCACCACATTGAAAGTGAACCTTTCCTAACGCGGAGATATGCTAGTAGAAACGAACATTCTAAGAAAACAAATATTGTACAAAAATTCTCCGAATAATCGAATGTCGCTCAAAAGTAGTTCAAGATTGCATTCACTTGTAACATTCATTAATAACAAAAAATGAACGGTGTACCCTTTAAATAATTCCTCAATTGCACCTAAACACTTTTCACCCCAAAAAGTGTATCATCCAAATATATATATAAAGTGCTAATATACTAAATAACACTAATAAATAAATACTACTGTCCAAAAATTATATTGTCCACAATAAAAAATAAAATCAAATAAAATAAACAGAATAAACAAAAATCCTCCAGAAAGACAGTCCGCAAAAAGGCTTCCAGCCGAATGTAGATCCAGTGATTATGGAGATCGAACCTCAAAAAAAGAGAGAACTCACATAGTGTGATACCATAAAAACGCATAAGGTAATAACATCACTGCAAAACGCATGTGAATCACACGAAACCACACGTGGTGACTCATGCAGGTGAGTATAATGTGAGCTGTGCAAACCGCTATAAAACACTCTCATGCAGTGTGCAAACCATGTAAACACGTGTCCACTTCTAAGTGTAAGGATAAAACACCCTTACCAGAACATGGATATAACATGTAAGTCCCAATTCAAAAACAGCTTTTCAAACTTAGCAAGTGGGAAATTCCTCCTCCATTAACATATAGATTCCCTCCAAAGCTGAACAGATTATACTGATAGAGTTCATGTAAGAACACATCCGGTCATGTTCTCAATGACTCCGGATAAAGCCACCACAAACAGCAATAGGAAGTTCTTCAATACCACATAAATTTTATTGCAGAAATGTCACATCATATTAAAATTACGAACAGACCCTCCATAGATCCTAAGTAACACTCCTCCTGTGTCTCTGAATGGAATTTCCAGGATCCAAGATGGCCGACCGGCAACTTCCGGTTGCTCAATACATCTTGACGTCACTTCCCTTTGACATGTTTCGTCACCTGACTTATTCATAAAGTGTAAACAGAAATGCAATTGCTGTCCAAATCGCAGGCAGTTTCCTCATTGCTCCTGTTCTAGCCCATACTGTCATCACTGTAAGGAGAGGAGAGAAAACTGCTTCACAGGTCTGGGCATTTGAACTTCCTGCCGCTTTCTCTCCTCCTCTTCCAGCGATGACAATGCTGGCTGGTCGGCATCTGATTGGTCAGCACGATCCATGCACTACACAGCTAACACTACCAGTGTTATTAAAATTCCCAGTGTGCAGGGAGCCTTATAAAGTACACAGAAATACTTCCTCTCTCAGGCTTGTGTGCTGCCCCAGCATACCTGCGAACACAAAGTCAATGTATGGCAGTGCCCATTTCTTGATAGAATTCAGCAGCTGGCATCTTCAGGGTGCACTACGCATTCCTACATGGCTGAAGGTTCCTGAAGGCAGGCAGATTTAGACAGGGATCCTGGCAAAAGTGGCAACATAGGATCCCAACGGTGACAGCAGTGGAACATCTCTCTGGGCTCCAGACCACTGTCCTGATATATCAGCACAGGACCAGTGGGTTGGACCCAAAAAGCTTGCCAAGGAAAAAACCCAGGAATAGAGTTAACCCTAACCCTCCCATCCGAGGCAGCACCTATCTTGGCTAAATTACAACCTGCCTACATACTAACTATGCAATGTTAGTTACAGCAATCTCCTTGCTGTGCTATAGTGTTCTGACAGGGGGGCTGCCCCCACAAGAACACACCGGTCAGCACTTGCAGCCATTGGCTAACAGCGCTGATCAGATGCCGATTGGCTGCTGGTTTTCTATCCTGATCGTTCGACAGAAGACAGTCGTGACATCGGCTTCTGTTGGATAAGCACTTGTACACACGGGCTAAATGATGGTCGGTATCTACTGTACTGGTTGGTTTCGGCCGATATTCGGCCCACTTGTACAGGGCTTTAAAGTCTACTAAAATTGGTGATTATTACATACACTTGTCAGTGGGCCACCATTGTGTGAAATGTATCATTCCTTTTTATGAGCTCCTGCCCAACGCATCACTGTGCAAAGAGATTAAAATACTTGAAGTTACAAATACCAGTGTCCATTATGGAGTTGTAGTTCCACAAAGCTGGTAATGCTCTTCTAAAAACCTGCACATTGACGATTGTATTCACTTCTAGGACCACCTTCAAGTAGTTAATCCTGAAACTTGTCAAATCTTCAGACCTCATTGGCTTTCTCAAGGCTGCTTTGTAACCCTATGACCATTGATCTGTCACTTTATAGCTATGTGAAAAATGGACAACACCCTTCAAGACCAATTGTTCATAACAATGATTTGTGAGTCATATGGTTCCCAACTCCCTTTTGTGACGCTCATGGTAGCCTTTCTGTCTGTGCTTGGTACCCTTCTGTCTGAAAAAAATACCTGAATCTGCTTATTTTATGCATCTTAAAAAATATGTATAATTATTATTACCATAATTGTATTGATATTTTCAAGACTTACTTCCAATTGTAATGTATAAATGTGGCTCACGGTGTGATGAAACTTGGGGGACCACAGCCTCTTGGTGTGTGACCTTTATGCAATCAGTTCTTAAGTCGTCTAAACATGAATCAGCAGGAACCAGTCAAATTTCAATCCATGTATGGACACCCTGGTTGTACAGAAGTCGATCTATCAATCGACTTCTGTACAACCAGCCTGTCGGGTTTTTCCTGAACGATCAGTGCCACTGTCTACATTGTGTTCTGGCGGAAGGGAAGGCTCCTCCACTGTGAGAACACGATAGCACAGCTGAAGTGATTCTCCCATCCACATTGTGGATGGGGGAATTGGCCAGTTGAACGAAAAAAAAAAAAAAATATTGTATAATGTATAGCCTGCCTTATGCTTTGTACACACAGGAAGCTTTTTTCATTCGATCCAGCGGACTTACATACTATGTTAGTGCAGTGAATTACCCGCTGAGCTATTGAGTCCTGACAGGGGGACCGCCCTCCCGCCAGAACACACTGATCAGCACTCACAGCCATTGGCTGCCAGCACTAATCAGATGCTGGTTTTCCAGCATGCCCGTTTGACAGAAGCTGATCATGAGACACGGCTACAAGGCGTTGTACACATGGGCCAAAAGTCGACCCATTCTTGCCAAACCGATTGTTTCTCAACTGATTTTTGGCCCGTGTGTGCCCAGCTTTAGACTGAAAATGCAAATTCCAGGTTGCTGTGACAAGCTACATTACCTCCATCCCTTTACATAATACATTGTAATGCAAGAGATTAGGTAGGAGATAAGGTAAATACGCAAGAACATCTTCCTTGTCATTATTACTGAGGTTGTGTTTGTTCACACCCAACATTGTCTGCCAAGTCATTCAATACCCAGTGCCATTGACAGGGCATAGTACTTGTTTAATAATTCTAACACATGTATATTGAATGCACATGACATGGTGAATTATAATTAATTACACTGAGATCTGGTGTCACGTTAGGTGTTTCCTCTGAGTAGGAACAAAAACTACATATAAGATTTCTATGGTTTCTCATTCCAGCTACGTTGGTGGAAAACAATTGCAAAAATCAATGAAAAAAACAAGAGTAGCAGAAAATCCACTGTGTTCAAATGATTCTGTTCCCAAGAAGGCTCAGCCAGGAGATGTCTAGAAAGACTGGGAGGTGCTCATAGACATACGATTATGGCGAGATTCCACCTTACTCATCTGGATCAGGCAATGCTGATGTATATAGGTACTGTATTGTACCTTTACTGAGATCCCCCCCACTTGGGTTCAGGTTGTTTCTCCCAGTGTTGGCAGGTGACTTGATTACAGCACAGTGTATTTTTTGAATATCCAGAGACATACCCGGGTTTTTAAAGGTGCACTTTCAGATGGCATCAAGATTGGGTGGCACAGTTCCAAACACAAATGTCCAACTTGGCATTTGTGTGAATGAAGAAGGAAAATTCATTCTGCTTAACGCAGAGCTAAACTTGCCATTTACACCTCTTGATCCACCCAGCAAGTTTGCTATTTTTAAACTTGCTTTAACATACCAAGCTGTCCAGCAAAAGTGGCAGTTAAAGTGCTGGGAAAAACAATGACAGGGGTGCTTACAATGGTCAGCGACGATGGACCATTTCTTGCTTCAGTGCCCCTTCAATATAGAAGTCTACAGGTGAGTGGGTCTCTGTGGATCCCTTTCCTTTCCCGCTTGAGTGGTCTTACAGAGCCTTTCAAACTCTCCAGGATTTTGATTTTGAGACACTTTTTGCAGTTAGCTTAGCAGTCTGTTACTACACGTGGAATGCATGGTGTCAGGTTTCCATTCGCAAAAAAATCCTTCCTGTTAAGGTGGTGGTGCACAACATTCTGGGTGAGGTTGGGAAGATTCGGGTCTTGAGAAGGACGGGTGGCGGCTGGGAGCTTGGACAAAGGCGTCGAGGTCCCCGTAGCTGCTGTCTGTCAGTCTCTGGGGGTGTTGCTTCTCTTTCTGTCCTCTCTCGTCCCCTAGATTTTTGTAAGATCAGATTTTTGAGAAAAGGCTGCATGCATGGGATAGATGTTTAATCGTTTCTTAAGCCGCAATGTGTGTTTAGGTGAAGGTCGGGATTTTAAGGTGCAATATAAAGATAATAATAATAATATTACAATTTGATTGGTTCTGTTTTGTTTTTTATGGCAAAAAGGCGGTTTGTTTTCATTGCTGAAGTAAGCGGTTTTTGTTTAATTATATATATATATATATATATATATATATATATATATATTTTTTTTTTTTTTTTTTTTTTATTCTGTATATATGTGAATATGGTTTTTATTATGTTGTTCGTTTGTAAGATTTTGAATAAACAATTTACAATGGTCAGCTTTTATTTACTTATGTAAAACCTTTATCCAAAATGAAAAAAAAACTGTTTCTGTAACTGCTTGAAAAGTGTTAGCTGGAGTTCAGCTTCAGTTTGTTAGTCACTTATGGAAAGTGTGCAATTTTCCATATTACCAGGTCAGAATAAAGGAAAAAACCCTAAAAAAGAAAATGAACGCAGCCACCACATCACCACTGGTAAGCTGCAAGATATTTGCTTTTGGGTTTTGAAACTTTTTGAGATTCACTACCAAAAACACAGAAAAAACATATAAGAGTCACCATAGATATTAGACGAAGGTAAGGCATGCAAGCACAATCTGTTACTTGTGGACATTCATACCAACCACCGGTTAAAAAACTTTAGGAAGGGCAGTAGAGACCCACTGCAGAGACCTCAGGTGCTGGGTTAGCATGAGGAAAACAATAGTGCTCTCCCACATTTTTTCCAACCTGTCTGATGGCTTACCCACTAAAAATCCTCAGTCAGCTGATGGTCCACAAACAAAATAGATTGTCTCCTAATCCAGCTGAAAATGGCTAGATTGAGACATTGACATCTTATATCTATGGGCACCTTATGTTTAACCACCACCCGCCCGCCATATAGTAATATGACGGACGCAAGGTGGTTCTCTCGTTCTGGGAGGACGTTGTATGACGTCCTCCCATTCTCACCGTGCATGCGCGGCTCAGGGAGCACGCAGCACGGTGATTCGGCGGTGCACTGTGTCCCTCAGACACAGCAGATCACCGATCAAGGAAAGAGCCCAAGATGTCGGCTCGGTCATGTGATCAGCTGTGTCCAATCACAGCTGATCGCATGTAAACAGGGAAATGTCGGTTATCGGCATTTCTCTCCTCTCGAGCTGTCACGCTGACAGCTCATGAGGAGAGGAGAGCCTGTAATCGTCTTTCCACGGAGGGGACATGTACACTGATGATCAGGGCACTGATGATCAGTGTGCCCTGATGATCAGTGTAGCCCCAGCAGTGCCACCTGTCAGTATCCAGTGCCTTGTGTCAGTGTTCATCAGTGCCTCGTGCCAGTGCCCATCAGTGCCACATCAATGCCAAATATCAGTGCCTACCAGTGCCTATCTGAGCTGCCTTTCAGTGTCACCCATCAGTGCCAGTCAGTGCCACCTATCAGTGCTGCCATCAGTGCCGCCTATCAGTGCCATGCAGTGCCGCATATCAATGCGTATCAGTGCCGCCTATCAGTGCCTGTCAGTGCCACCTATCAGTGCCAATAAGTGCCGCCTAACAGTGCAAGTCAGTGCCGCCTATCAGTGCCGCCTATCAGTGCCATGTATCAGTGCTGCCTTTCAGTGCCCATCAGTGATGCCTGTCAGTGCCCATCAGTGCCACCTACCAGTGCCTCCTCATCAGTGACCATCAGTGCCACCTACCAGTGCAGCCTATCAGTGCCCATCACTGCAGCCTCATTAGCGCACATCAATGAAGGAGAAAAATCACTTATTTGCAAAATGTTATAATTAAAAACTAAAAAAAAAAAGTTTTTTTTTTCAAAATTTTCAGTGGTTTTTGGTTTGTTTAAGAAAAAAATAAAAACCCAGAGGTGATTAAATACCACCAAAGTGGTATCTATCTGTCACAAAAAAATTATAAAAATCTCATATGTGTACAGTGTTGCATGACTGCGCAATTGTCACTCAAAGTGTGACAGCGCTGAAAGCTGAAAATTGGCCTGGGCAGGAAGAGGGTGTAAGTGCCCGGTAGGCTTGTGGTTAAAGCAAATGCTCCATGGACAGGCAGTGAGACATTTGCCCATCTTCACATGCCTGGTCAGTCCACAAGCAGACAATGAGACAAGTGAGAATAAGTGTGGATATGAGATTTGCTGGCATAATAAAATATGGGTTCCCTGTTAGTTCCAAATTTAGACAGAATCTGGTAATGTGGCCAAAGTGGCAAATGCACAAATAAAGCAGCTAAGATGTATTTCAGTGTCTTTGTACAAGAATCCTCTATAGCAGCCTTTCTCAACTTTTTTTTATAACATGGAGGAACTCTTGACATAACTTTCCAGTCCCAAGAAACCCCTGCTAATATGTACTATATCTAGGGTACAGTCACTAGAAAGAATGCTCCTTAAAGTGTTACTAAACCCACAACAGTAAAATCAGTCTGTATATACAGTAAAGCAGGGTGTCAAACTCAATGTTATTGTGGTACTCATCAGCATTATGGTTGTATCTGTAAGACTAGATGTCCAAAGCACCCCCCCCCCCCCTTACATCAGATGTCAAGAATCCCACACCATCAGAAGTCAAAAATCCCCCACCCTTCCTTACATCCCAATACTCTCCCCTTACCTTGTGCTACTGCAGGGATGAAGCTGGGGGTGGAGCTTTGAAGTTGAAAGTGCCGGGTCTGGAGGAGGACCAGAGGAGGGTTGGAGTCAGCTGCCAGAGTCTGCTGAATGCTGAAATGAGGGGATGCTGCTGCTGCTGCACAGAGAGGTGCAGGATCTGTAGTTCTGTTGTCCTCCCTGCTGCCGACTGCTAAGACAAGGTGGGGCAGAGACAATGGAAGTGCCGCAGCTGCAGGAGAGGTGCAAGGGACACATGAAATGGACTGGTGGGCCATATTCAGCCCTCAGGCCTTGTGTTTAACACCTGTGTAGTAAAGCATTCTTGTTATACTTACTGTGGAACCTAAGGGGTTAAAACCTCCGCATAGTGTAAAAAGGCTGTTGATCCTTTCTTCTCTGATCCTCCTTTTCTTTTTCTGCCCCAAATTCACCTGTCATAGTACAGAGCAGCAGTGGCAAATCTGCACATGGTCAGTTTAATGTGTAGTGCTAGAGAGTTTTTCTTTTGGGGGGGTGCATGTGATCAGCAAAGGGCTAATCATTGCTGTCCAGACAGAGAGCAGGGGCATGCAGCCTCAGAGGACAGTCAGAGGAGAATGGTAACTCCTACAAGATTAACCAATGCTGGACACTGATAGAAGTCACAAGAGTGCTCTAACTGCTGATGAGAAGAGGTATTTATTAGTTTATATTTACTAATAATTGCATTTCCATGTTTTGTGTACTGTGGGAGACCAGATATAGTGAATACAGGGTCCTGGGAGACCAGATATAGTGAATACAGGGTCCTGGGTTTAGTAACACTTTAACCACTTCCAGTCCAGACACTTTTACCCCCTTCCTGTCCAGGCCAATTTTCAGCTTTCAGTGCTATCACGCTTTGAATGACAATTGCACGGTCATGCAACACTGTACCCATATGAATTTTTTAGCCTTTTTTTGAGACAGATAAAGCTTTATTTTGGTGGTATTTATTCACCACTGGGATTTTTATTTTTTTTTTGCTATGTAAATTAAAAAGTCCAAAAATTTAGAAAAAAAGTGTTTTTCTTATAAAATTTGGCAAATAAATAATATTTCATCATAAATCTTGGCAAAAATGTATTCCGTTAAATTTTTAGTAAAAAAAAAATAACTCAAATTAGTTTATAACCAAAAGTTATCATTTTTAAACTTTTTTTTTTTTTATATTATTATTTTTTTTTTTTTTTTGCATACTGTCACCCTAGCAGTACAGTGTCACAAAGTGACTTCTTGCTTACTACTCTACATGTGATCACTGATTGGCAAATCAGTGATTACATGATCGGGACCTCGTACAGAGGTCCCATCCGACAATCGGTGTTCCTGCACAAGCAGGGTGCGGGGATGCCATTTATAAACGGCCACCCGATCCTGCACTGATACTGTCCGGCCGGCCGTTTATATACAACGGGCTGACGGGAGGTGGTTAAGCAGGCCAAAGATGGATGGAAATTCAGCGGGTTTAGAATTTCAATCTATTTGCAGGCAGGCTGGTTGTACAGAAGTCGATCGCTTAACTGACTTCTTTATGACCAGCTTATTGGAAAGACAGTCAGGTCCATAAATATTGGGACATCGACACAATTCTAACATTTTTGGCTTTATACACCACTACAATGGATTTGAAATGAAACAAACAAGATGCGCTTTAACTGTCGACTGTCAGCTTTAATTTGAGGGTATTTACATCCAAATCAGGTGAACGGTGTAGGAATTACAACAGTTTGCATATGTGCCTCCCACTTGTTAAGGGACCAAAAGTAATGGGACAATTGGCTTCTCAGCTGTTCCATGGCCAGGTGTGTGTTATTACCTCATTATACCAATTACAATGAGCAGATAAAAGGTCCAGAGTTCATTTCAAGTGTGCTATTTGCATTTGGAATCTGTTGCTTTCAACTCTCAAGATGAGATCCAAAGAGCTGTCACTATCAGTGAAGCAAGCCATCATTAGGCTGAAAAAACAAAACAAACCCATCAGACAGATAGCAAAAACATTAGGCGTGGCCAAAACAACTGTTTGGAACATTCTTAAAAAGAAGGAATGCACCGGTGAGCTCAGCAACACCAAAAAAACCTGGAAGACAACGGAAAACAACTGTGGTGGATGACCGAAGAATTCTTTCCCTGGTGAAGAAAACACCCTTCACAACAGTTGGCCAGATCAAGAACACTCTCCAGGAGGTAGGTGTATGTGTGTCAAAGTCAACAATCAAGAGAAGACTTCACCAGAGTGAATACAGAGGGTTCACCACAAGATGTAAACCATTGGTGAGCCTCAAAAACAGGAAGGCCAGATTACAGTTTGCCAAACGACATCTAAAAAAGCCTTCACAGTTCTGGAACAACATCCTATGGACAGATGAGACCAAGATCAACTTGTACCAGAGTGATGGGAAGAGAAGAGTATGGAGAAGGAAAGGAACTGCTCATGATCCTAAGCATACCACCTCATCAGTGAAGCATGGTGGTGGTAGTGTCATGGCGTGGGCATGTATGGCTGCCAATGGAACTGCTTCTCTTGTATTTATTGATGATGTGACTGCTGACAAAAGCAGCAGGATGAATTCTGAAGTGTTTCGGGCAATATTATCTGCTCATATTCAGCCAAATGCTTCAGAACTCATTGGACGCCGCTTCACAGTGCAGATGGACAATGACCCAAAGCATACTGCAAAAGCAACCAAAGAGTTTTTTAAGGTAAAGAAGTGGAATGTTATGCAATGGCCAAGTCAATCACCTGACCTGAATCCGATTGAGCATGCATTTCACTTGCTGAAGACAAAACTGAAGGGAAAATGCCCCAAGAACAAGCAGGAACTGAAGACAGGTGCAGTAGAGGCCTGGCAGAGCATCACCAGGGATGAAACCCAGCGTCTGTTGATGTCAATGCGTTCCACACTTCAGGCTGTAATTGACTGCAAAGGATTTGCAACCAAGTATTAAAAAGTGAAATTTTGATTTATGATTATTATTCTGTCCCATTACTTTTGGTCCTTTAACAAGTGGGAGGCACATATGCAAACTGTTGTAATTCCTACACCGTTCACCTGATTTGGATGTAAATACTCTCAAATTAAAGCTGACAGTCTGCAGTTAAAGGACATCTTGTTCATTTCATTTCAAATCCATTGTGGTGGTGTATAGGGCCAAAAATGTTAGAATTGTGTCGATGTCCCAATATTTATGGACCTGACTGTATGTTTCCGGATCAGTGCCACCGGCGGTGCTGGTGAGTGTATTCTGATGGTGGGAAAGCCTCCCTGCTGTCACAATACAATAGCTCCATAGAAGGGATTCCACCATCTACACTGAATGTGTAGATGAGGGAGTTGATTCATTTTCTTTTGTTCAACTTGCTGGTATAGCCTTCCTTACACTTATAGTCATTGGAGAGAATCCCACCGCTAGACCTCATTGGGGTAAGTGATTACTCATCTGAGAGGGAGAAATAGCTCATTGCTCAAGGAACCCCTAGCGACCTCTGGAGGAACCCTGGTTGAGGAAGGCCATTCTAAAGCCTTTGGCCACCACTGATCTGATATTTATTTATTTATTTATTTATTTCAGGTACTTATATAGCGCTGTCAATTTACGCAGTGCTTTACACATATATAATGAACATTCACATCAGTCCCTAACCCTCAAGGGGTGTACAATCTAAGGTCCCTAACTTACATTCATACATATTATGGCCAATTTAGACAGGAGCCAATTAACCTACCAGCATGTCTTTGATATGGCGGTTTGCCTTCATAGTACACAACTCAGCCTGATCCTTTGCCTTCCTTAAACACTTTAGAAATGTTACAGATTATTACAGTGTTTACTGCCCATGACTTTA